TGCGAAATCGATAGATCCTGAGTTCGAATCTCGTGAGGCGGGATCGTGGACGCGCGCTGTTTAGGAGTCCTACAACAGGACGGAATGGTCATCCAGTGCTTCTAGGTTTTCCATGATAGTCTAGTTTCAATTGACCCATGAATTCAATTATAAAATAATTTGATTGAATATAATAAATTTATTGATTTGTCTATAATTCATTTAATTTATTTATTTAGAAAATTTCAACTATTCTAATTGTTAATCAATAAATCAATAATCGGTTTATTGTATTAAAGTATTTGAGTTTTCTGTGATTGTTTCTTAGTAGACAAAAAGTACCCCATCCCTAAAAAGTAATAAGTGTGTTTTAGTTACTGAGGAGTAAAGATATGCATTATATTTGCTAGTAGAATATTATATTTTCATTTGTACACTCTTAATTATTATTATCTGTGAGGATGGTCCATGGGTGAACTCGAGGAAGCATAGTGTACAGATTGCTTCGATATTGACTTAGGTCACAAGCTCTATCAGGACTTAGTAGCTAAGTAAAGCATACGGTACTGGGTTCGAGTCTCAGAGTGGACATCAATTCTGAGATGCAGGTACATTCAGCTGATGGGTCCTAAATAGGATGAAACGCGTATCCTAGATTCCACTGCTAGTCACAATCCATCTTTGCTTACAATGCTTGTGAATTAAGGCAAAATCGAGGAAATCCTCACAGGATGAACATATGCCAATAAGAGAGAGAGAGAGAGAGTGATTAATTGCAGTCCTAAACATCAATGAGAAGATTCAAGTAAACAATACTAAATGAATTTAAACTTCACCCTATTGCACAAGTAAGTGTCTACCAGGGCTCAGTAGCTAGGTGGATAACGTGATGGCATTTGTACCGAACGGTAGTGGGTTGGAGACCCACAGTGAACGTTAACTCTGAGATGCAGGTATATCCATCTGACGAGTCCTAAATATGACGAATCGTGCGTCCGTGATTCCACTGCTAGTCACCATCCATCTTAGCTTATAATTACCTACAAATTGTTTTTTTGATTTATTCTATAATAGTCTAATTCATGAGTCGATGAAAGCTAGACCACCATTGAAAACCTGGATGCACTTGATAGCCTTTTCGTCATGGTATAGGACTCCTCAACCGTGCGCATCCAACAATCTCGAATGTGGGACACAAACCAAGGACCTTTGATCTCGCGCACGAACGTCTAACCTGTAGATCACTGAGCTGGCATCCAACGGTGGCAGTGCCTAACTTCCATCGATCCACGAATGGCTACGCAACCATTCATCAGAACTCCAGGAAATTATCTTGAAGGCAGTCATTAGTAAGCACACAATGATTATGAGTAGAATGGGGTTTATAGATATTGTGGTAATTCTAATAGTTTAATTCATGAACCGATGTCAGCTAAACCACTATTGAAAACCTGGAAGCACTGGATGGTAGTTTCATCTTGATATGGAACTTCTCAGCAGTGCATAAGTTGAAAGAATTGTTACCACTAAGAATTATACACGTTTTTTCCATATGATATCCAGATAACTGATTATTAAAATGATAACTACTAATCCAAAAACACGTATATGTTAAAAATAGCATGAAAATATAACAATGTCAGTAACACAATATAAGTTACTTATGATGTTACCCCACATGGAGGAGCATATTGCCATCTACCAACATTCTCCATCAAACTCTATCTTGGAAAATTATTTTCCATTGTTTCCAGATACTATTCATCCTCTTGATATCTGCTTCCAATTCTCGGTACAGTGTATTCTTTGATCTTCAGTTCTGTACATTCGAACTATCTTGATATTCTTATTAAAGATTCTGACTCTGATATAGATTGACAGTTATTTTAAGTTCTATATATTCTTCAACTAAAGTTCAACACTTCATATTATCTGTTCTTTGTTTATATATGAACCGATTAAATGGATATCTCGATATTATTTGTAATCATCAATCGACTGTGTTTCTGGTGGGCGGCCTACGCTCCATTGAGAGTAACAGGCGTAAGTAAGTAAGTATGTAAGTCTTTCCGAAGAATGATTATCTATGGAACTCAAAATATAAGATTTGTATTGTTTAGAACTTGAATCATTTACTCGATGAACCTACATATCAGTTATTGCCTGATCAAGTTCAATGATGAATAATATTTCTCAGTAGAATCAGTCAGTTTATTGATTTTACAAATTGCATAACCACATTACATTACTGATTAATCAATGCTTTAATTTACTGAAATTTATTTATTAGTATGGGGTTGTGGAGATTATTAAGTTATTGATTGACATCATGAAGCGATTGATATGGGGCTAATCTGTGTCGGGCAGAGAAAGGTATCTACCTTAGTACAATGGAAGATGGTCGCGCAATTTCGTGGATTGGTTGAGGTTAGACATTAATAATGTTGGGTGCTGGCTCAGTGGCCTAGTAGGTTGGGCGTACGCACGCGCGAGACTGAAGGCCCTGGGTTCGAATCCCGCAAGCGGGATCTTGGGTACGTACTAATGAGGAGTCCCACAATAGAACCGAAACCTACAAACATTGGACGAAAGTTCTGTCCCATTGAGGGACTCCAGCCTCACGAGACTTGAACCCACTAGACCACTTGCCGGCATCCAACGGTGTTAATGTCTAACTTCAACTAATCCACGAAATTCAGCGACACATCCACCATTGTCTTCAGTGAGTTACTATCTCACGACAGACCTAGTTGAAGTCCACTGGTCACTGCTCCTCACTAGAACTGCGGGAAATACCTCTTGAAGCCAGTCACTAGTGAGCATATGTTGATTAATATCTTAAGGAATATTTTTGTGGATATTATAGTAATTTCAATAGTTGAGATCATGTGTTAATTGAAGCTAGACCATCTTAGAATATCTGGAAACAGTGAACGGCCGTTTCGTCCTATTACGGGACTCCTCTTTGGAAGTGCGCATCCACGATGATGATCTCTAACTATTTAGGTAAACAAGATATCGCTAATAGAAATATATATCATTGGATATTATTATTACTTTTTCCCAATTCATATTATCTAATTAAAAAAATAATAATATTAGTGGATAATTGATTGAGTAATAGTGATTGATTGGTGAGAACTATCAAGAGTAAATTGAATAGAAATACTGGTTACATTGAATAAGTAATTAACTTCACATAAAATGCAATAGAGCTGTTCTGTAGGATTCATAATTATCAGATGTGTTAGGTGTAATGACTTTAAGCTTGGCTAGTTATCACTTGATTTATTCGCTAATCAAAATACAATTTATTTAATCTTCGTACTGTGCTAAGCCAATGACGTTCGACCGGTATAAGCAACCTAGCGTTTTTATTAGTCCTTTCTTCTCCTAGCCCGTCTAGTTGAGTCCAGAACGTCAATACCAACTTCCACTATAAAAATCGTTTATTTCAAGCATATTTGATTTATATACCAGACAAACAGATCGCGTTACACCATAAAATAGGAAATACCATTTATACAAGATCAAGCCAAAAAGTGGCTGTGAACATGGGAGACTCTAATCAATAAACTGAACATAAGACAAGTAAATCGTATAATATTAGTCAATGAATCAAAATGAAACTTATAATAAGAGGAATATAGATATACATAGTCTAGTTACTGTATCAGTCCAGTAATAGTCCTCAGAAGGTACCTATAGTTTAATGTTCATTAAGATATAACAGTAGGAGCAGTAATAAATTATTTCTAGATATAAAATAGATTGATTTTTATCAAAAAAATAAGATTAAGAACAGATTCAACTCATATATAATTTCAGTGGTTAAGATCATGAGTCAGCTGAAGCTAGACCACCATGGAAAACCCTGGAAGTACTGGACGGTCGTCTCTTCCTATTGTGGGACTCCTCAGCAGTGCACACCCACGACCTCACCCCCTGCGAGATTCGAACCCAGGGCCTACTGGCTTCTCGCGTGAGCACTTAACCACCAGACCACTGAACTTGCCAGCATCCAACGGTGTTAATGTCTAACTTCAACTTATCCACGAGACTGAGCGACACATCCACCATTTTCTTCAGTGAGTTACTATCTCTCATATATAATTATTACAAAAGGATAGAATAATTTAAAGTATCAGTGATTTTGTATTTCAATTAGTACATATAGAACGTTGGTCATTGATATATAGGTAATTATTGTATCCTGTTGAAGAGTAATGAAATGGTAACTGTTGCAAAGTGGGTGATGAAACTGTCGAGGTCATAATTAATATGGTTGTGGTTAGACATTTAAAGTTATACAAACTCCTGTCAGGTGTTATCCTATCAGATATTAACCATCCCCTTTACTCATATTTTTCTCCTTGTATAACTTCTGGTAGAACGAGACGCAATTACATTATAATTCATGAACGCAAGCAATAATATAAAAGTTCTATTATACTTTACGTAGTAAATATACTCTGTGACGAACAAGTGGTTAGAATTAACCTAGTCGATAACCTGTATTCTTAACATGTCTCTAATTTGAAAAGTTGTACAGTTTTTCAGATTTTTTTAAACCTTTTTTTTACTTTTTTTTGTCGTTGTTTCCATTTTTTGTGTAAGTAACTTGTTGAAATACCCTGTGCTGCGAATTTCTATATTGTACCAATAATATAATATTGAATAAAATTACTACCACTAATACTACTACTACCACTACTTATACTCCTACTACTATCGCTAGCATTTCTAATACTACTTTCACTACTACTACTACTACTACTACTACGACCAGTACTACGACTACTACTACTACTACTACTACGACCAGTACTACGACTACTACTACCACTACTACTACTACTACTACTACTACGACTACGACTAAGACCATGACTACCACTACCACTACTACTACTACGACTACGACCAGTACTACGACTACTACTACTACGACTAGTACTACGACTTCTACTACTACGACTAGTACTACGACTACTACTACTACTACGACTACGACTAGGACCATGACTACCACTACTACTACTACTACTACTACGACTACTACTACTACTACGACTACGACTAGGACCATGACTACCACTACTACTACTACTACTACTACTACTACTACTACTACTACGACTACGACTAGGACCATGACTACCACTACCACTACTACTACTACTAATACTACTACGACTAGTACTACGACTACTACTACTACAACTAGTACTACGACTACTACTACTACGACTAGTACTACGACTACTACTACTACGACTAGTACCACGACTACTACTACTACGACTAGTACTACGACTACTACTACTACGACTACTACTACGACTATTACTACTACTACGACTACGACTAGGACCATGACTACCACTACCACTACTACTACTACTACTACTACTACTACTACTACGACTACGACCAGTACTACGACTACTACTACTACTACGACTACGACTAGGACCATGACTACCACTACCACTACTACTACTACTACTACTACTACTACGACTAGTACTACGACTACTACTACTACGACTAGTACTACGACTACTACTACTACTACGACTACGACTAGGACCATGACTACCACTACTAATACTACTACTACTACTACTACTACTACTACTACTACTACTACTACTACTACTACTACTACTACTACTACTACTACTACTACTACTACTACTACTACTACCACTACTACTACCACTACTACTACTACTACTACTACTACTACTACTACTACTACTACTACTACTACTACTACTACTACTACTACTACTACTACTACTACTACTACTACTACTACTACTATTAATAATAACAATAATCACTATTGTATATGAAAATCGATATCAAGTAAAAGTGTAAAATGAATCTATGCCCTTCAGTCTTCTTTTCCTTGTTTTTCGCTATTTTCTTCTACATATGGTTTATTTAATGTCGGGGAATTGTATTTTGATTAGTACATATAGAAAGTTGATCAGTTATATTGAGGTAATTGTTATATCCTGATGAGAATGATGAATAGTAAGTGTTGGAATCTATTTATGGACTAATACTAAATGTATACTTTTATTCTATGATTGTTAAGTAACTAAACTATTCATATTCGTGTTTCTCTTATCATAAGCTTCATATAGACCCATAGAGTAATATTATACGATTTACCGTTCTTGAGTTAGGCCCTGTTTATCAATTATTACCTCTCACATTCCTAGCCACTTTCGACTAGACTTTGTACAAATGTTATTTCCTATTTCGTGATCTGACGTGATCTATTTGATTTGAATATAAACCCAGTATAATTGAAATATATGATTTATATCTCAGACGCTGAGATTGGTCTTCTGAACTCAACAGACAGGCAGGGCTAGTTGGAAAGCAAGACCGATAAAGACTCTAGATTGCTCATAGTTGTTTTATGCGTCATTAGGTCGGTCGATAATTCACTATTCCCTATTTGGCTATATTATTACGTTATATATATTGATAGGTGCATAAGGCCACAAGTTATAACAGTAATCTCTGTTCACTTAGTTACTACAGACAATACAATTACATTTATTTTCTATAAACTGTTAGTTAATCTCATGAAAATATTCTTCATCAATGTAAATGTAAATATTTGAGTTAAATATTTCTCAGTATGTTAAAATGTAAGGTTCATTATTGATGAATTTACATTATAGACAGTGATCATATAATCGAGGGTAAATATGTGTTTGACTGATTGAGTGAATGTGTTTCCTTACATTAGACATGAATCTCACATGGTTAACCTTATAGATGAACCTGTCACATAATGGTATGTAATCAATAAATAATAGATAGATAGATAGATGTGTGGATAGATAGATAGATAGATAGATAGATAGATAGATAGATAGATAGATAGATAGATAGATAGATAGATAGATAGATAGATAGATAGATAGATGTGTGGATAGATAGATAGATAGATAGATAGATAGATAGATAGATAGATAGATAGATAGATAGATAGATACATAGATAGATAGATAGATAGATGTGTGGATAGATAGATAGATAGATAGATAGATAGATAGATAGATAGATAGATAGATAGATAGATAGATGTGTGGATAGATAGATAGATAGATAGATAGATAGATAGATAGATAGATAGATAGATAGATAGATAGATAGATGTGTGGATAGATAGATAGATAGATAGATAGATAGATAGATAGATAGATAGATAGATAGATAGATGTGTGGATAGATAGATAGATAGATAGATAGATAGATAGATAGATAGATAGATAGATAGATAGATAGATAGATAGATAGATAGATAGATAGATAGATAGATGTGTGGATAGATAGATAGATAGATAGATAGATAGATAGATAGATAGATAGATAGATAGATAGATAGATAGATAGATAGATAGATGTGTGGATAGATAGATAGATAGATAGATAGATAGATAGATAGATAGATAGATAGATAGATAGATAGATAGATAGATAGATAGATGTGTGGATAGATAGATAGATAGATAGATAGATAGATAGATAGATAGATAGATAGATAGATAGATAGATAGATAGATAGATAGATAGATAGATGTGTGGATAGATAGATAGATAGATAGATAGATAGATAGATAGATAGATAGATAGATAGATAGATAGATAGATAGATAGATAGATAGATGTGTGGATAGATAGATAGATAGATAGATAGATAGATAGATAGATAGATGTGTGGATAGATAGATAGATAGATAGATAGATAGATAGATAGATAGATAGATAGATAGATAGATAGATAGATGTGTGGATAGATAGATAGATAGATAGATAGATAGATAGATAGATAGATAGATAGATAGATGTGTGGATAGATAGATAGATAGATAGATAGATAGATAGATAGATAGATAGATAGATAGATAGATAGATGTGTGGATAGATAGATAGATAGATAGATAGATAGATAGATAGATAGATAGATAGATAGATAGATAGATAGATAGATAGATAGATGTGTGGATAGATAGATAGATAGATAGATAGATAGATGTGTGGATAGATAGATAGATAGATAGATAGATAGATAGATAGATAGATAGATAGATAGATAGATAGATAGATAGATAGATAGATAGATGTGTGGATAGATAGATAGATAGATAGATAGATAGATAGATGTGTGGATAGATAGATAGATAGATAGATAGATAGATAGATAGATAGATAGATAGATAGATAGATAGATAGATAGATAGATAGATAGATAGATAGATAGATAGATAGATGTGTGGATAGATAGATAGATAGATAGATAGATAGATAGATAGATAGATAGATAGATGTGTGGATAGATAGATAGATAGATAGATAGATAGATAGATAGATAGATAGATAGATAGATAGATAGATGTGTGGATAGATAGATAGATAGATAGATAGATAGATAGATAGATAGATAGATAGATAGATAGATAGATAGATAGATAGATAGATAGATAGATAGATAGATAGATAGATGTGTGGATAGATAGATAGATAGATAGATAGATAGATAGATAGATAGATAGATAGATAGATAGATAGATAGATAGATAGATAGATAGATAGATAGATGTGTGGATAGATAGATAGATAGATAGATAGATAGATAGATAGATAGATAGATAGATAGATAGATAGATAGATGTGTGGATAGATAGATAGATAGATAGATAGATAGATAGATAGATAGATAGATAGATAGATAGATAGATAGATAGATAGATAGATAGATAGATAGATAGATAGATAGATAGATAGATAGATAGATAGATAGATAGATAGATAGATAGATGTGTGGATAGATAGATAGATAGATAGATAGATAGATAGATAGATAGATAGATAGATAGATAGATAGATAGATAGATAGATAGATAGATAGATAGATAGATAGATAGATAGATAGATGTGTGGATAGATAGATAGATAGATAGATAGATAGATAGATAGATAGATAGATAGATAGATAGATAGATAGATAGATGTGTGGATAGATAGATAGATAGATAGATAGATAGATAGATAGATAGATAGATAGATAGATAGATAGATAGATAGATAGATAGATAGATAGATGTGTGGATAGATAGATAGATAGATAGATAGATAGATAGATAGATAGATAGATAGATAGATAGATAGATAGATGTGTGGATAGATAGATAGATAGATAGATAGATAGATAGATAGATAGATAGATAGATAGATGTGTGGATAGATAGATAGATAGATAGATAGATAGATAGATAGATAGATAGATAGATAGATAGATGTGTGGATAGATAGATAGATAGATAGATAGATAGATAGATAGATAGATAGATAGATAGATAGATAGATAGATAGATAGATAGATAGATAGATAGATAGATAGATAGATAGATAGATAGATAGATAGATAGATAGATAGATAGATAGATAGATAGATGTGTGGATAGATAGATAGATAGATAGATAGATAGATAGATAGATAGATAGATAGATAGATAGATAGATAGATAGATAGATAGATAGATAGATAGATAGATAGATAGATAGATAGATAGATGTGTGGATAGATAGATAGATAGATAGATAGATAGATAGATAGATAGATAGATAGATAGATAGATAGATAGATAGATAGATAGATAGATAGATAGATAGATAGATAGATAGATAGATAGATGTGTGGATAGATAGATAGATAGATAGATAGATAGATAGATAGATAGATAGATAGATAGATAGATAGATAGATAGATAGATAGATAGATAGATAGATGGATAGATAGATAGATTATAACACCATTTATATTATCTTGTTGTTATCTTTACGGCAGAAAGAACGATTACAACAACAACTTGGTTTCTTTATTTGTTTTCTTCTTTTTTTTCCACAATTTCGATTTGTTATCTCTTTTTTGTTTACATTGAAAAAAACCAAAAACCAAAACAAAAGGAAATCGTATTCTGTCTTACACCATTTTATGTGATTACAATCAACATTACATTTTTTATAAACACATACACACACACGCACACAGTGAGACATACATACGCACATCCACACATACATACATACATACATACATACCGACATATATATCCATATAGAAACACAAAATGAATGTATCATCAAATATTGGAATGTATCATTGAATTCCTTCCGAGAGAAATTATATTTTGTTACTAATATCAAATGTTTTTTTTAAAAAATTTTGTTACTATGATGATTATCATTTTTATTCTTGTTATAATTTATAATGCCAAATATAGTTTAGTTGTCATATAACAATAATAATAACACATATTCAAATAGAATATCATACATGTATTATTATTTTGTTTAGTTTATAATGTTTGTACATAGATATTACAATTGATGTTTAGGTGAATAACTCAACCAATGTCTAGATCTATCTATCTATCCATCCATCTACCTATCCATCTATCTATCCATCTATCTATCTACCTATCTATCTACCTATCTATGTCTCTTTAGATCTATATATATAGAGAGAGAGAACAACAGAGTACTTAAATGAATATGTATCATTCATAAATACCAATTTATCTGTTATCGAATGATCCTTCTATAAAAGAATAACTCATTTAAGTAATATATTTAAGTAATATATATTCAATTAACTTTTAATTAATTAAAACAAACAAACAAACAAACAAAAAGAAAAAAGAAAAAAAAATCAATTTTCAATTATTCAATTATTTATTGTTTTATTTATTTACTTTTAAATAAACAAAAAAAGAAAAGAAAAGAAAAGAAAAGAAAAATATTTTATAACTATGGATTCGAGTCCTG